CCTGGCCATGCCGGGCCTACGCGTATTTTCGTGCTCGCGCTTGTAGTGTAGTCTAATCCTCAACATAACTCCTTAATGGGAATTTAAACATAGGTGTGACCAGGAACTAATTTATTCAGATAGTACGCTGCAAGTAAAAAAACATTTTTGTTGGTTTTTACCAAGATATTACTGAATGATGACCATAATTTTAGAAGTTAGTATTTGCTTTTTTTTTTTACAAATTTCTATGAAAACTCCTGACCTAATAGTTTGTAGTTGTGACAAGAACTGATAAGACAAGATCTAACGTTTACTTTTAATTCTGTATCGTGCTTTTTAGAGAAAACAAAAACAGCGAAGCAGTACAGTGTGTTTTATTGTTTGATATTTATGTCTAACTTAATTGTTTTGCCAGTTTATTCGTATTTTTCTAAAGTTATCTTTTTTACTGCGGCACATTTTATCCTTCCGACATTGTACTTTTTACCCTACCTGTTCTATTTCAATTTGTCTCTATTTTATGTGCGAAACTCTTTGTAAATAATGAAAAAAAGGGGGGGGGGAGATTCTGAGTCAATTGTTTGTTAAAGCGACACAATGGGCTACGTACACTGTGCCCATCACATGGATCGAACCCCTACTTTTAGGTTATAAGCCTTTAAGTTTATCACTGAGCCACCGAGGGAATGACATGTTGAGTGTATTTTTTTTAGGTATGAATGTTCACTAGTGTTTCATTTTAATTATAATGTATAACCTGTCCCATCGTCAGTTGTATTTATACTGGGTTATATTTCCTTCTCGTATGTTTGTTTTGTTTGTTTTGAATTTTCGCGCAAAGTTACACGAGGGCTATCTGCGCTAGCCGTCCCTAATTTAGCAGCGTAAGACTAGATGGAAGGCAGCTAGTCATCACCACCCACCGCCAACTCTTGGGCTACTCTTTTACCAACGAATAGTGGGATTGACCGCCACATTATAACGCCCCTACGGCTGAAAGGGCGAGCATGTTTGGTGAGACAGGGATTCG